TGTCAGTCACGCATCAGGGTGGATCCAGACAGTAATGTGGGGATCCATCCCGGCTGCAGGGTCTCAGTATACCGCAAGCTGTAGCTCCCTATATACTGAGCTTAGGGTGACGGGAGGACGCAGGTTTGTGTCCTCCCGTTACCCTGAGGAGAACTATGGGGAAAACACTGACCTCATAGTTCTCCTTTAAATAAACCTCCAATGAACCACAACGGACATTTACATGCATCTGCAGATTTCTTTTTGTAAAGCAGCTCACCACCATACACAGATGGTTCACTTCCGTGCGTTGTGGTGCTCTGAAACACACATGTGCTGGTAAGGTGTGTTCAAAATGAATCTTATTGCAAAGCACCAGTCAGGTCAATCAGTCAGTTTCATGCGTTATAGTGGGTTTACAATTAAACCTGCATGGTACTGCACGTTATTGTAACATGGAATTGGCGCAAATATTTGAGGAGACTAAGGCCCCGTTCACATTGAGCGATTTATCGCGCGGTAATTTCCACGATATCACGGCTTTTTACCGCGCAATATCGCTCTCCAATGCATGGCAATGGGGCTTTGTCCGTCGCTGTCGCGGGTCGTGCGTCGCTACAGCAGGACCCTTTTTGGAGCGGATTTTGCCGCGATTCTAGCTTGCTCAATGCAACCATTTGCGCGATATAGCGCGGCAAACGCGCAACATCACGTAAAATGCAAATCGCTCGACAAACACGCGATTTGCGAATCGCTCAGTGTGAATGGGGCTTTAAAGTGACATTAAACCTCCCCAACATTCAGGCCTGCATTCCCCACAAGGCCCGACCTCGGGGCGGCAGGGCGCAGAGGGGAGGCAGCGGTGTCCTTGTGGGGAAGTTCAGGCCGCCGGACGGTAAGTTGCACTCTCTACATTTAGTCCTGCTTTGCACAAGCAGGACTAAATGTAGAGTGAGGCAGCCGATTGTTCGTTTACATATCGCCGAGATCACATGTAAACAGTGTGCAGCCGGCCGGTCCGTCCTCCCCTCCCCTCCCCTTTCCCCCTGAACTTACCTCTCTCCTCTGGTTCCGTCCTCCGCCACCGAGTCTCTTCTCACTGCAGTGAGCAGAGCGGCCGGGTTAAAAGTAAGAGCTAAAAGCTGCGCTCTTCCTCTCTCACCTGTCATAGGAGTTCCAGCACAGAGTGCTGTGCTAGAACTCCTGTATTGGAGGTGACGGGGTCAATAAAGAGAACCTGTCACCTCCAAAGGCTATCACACAGGGGATTGTTTTTTTCCTGTGTGATAGCAATAAAGTTAGGTGGGAAAAAAAATAAAAATTAAATAAAAATAAAAAGGTGATTAAAAAGTAAAAATAATAAGAAACAAATTATTTAAGAAAATAATTATTAAAAATAAAACAATAAGAT